CACTGCTTTCCAAGGTCTTGATTGTAAACAATATGCAAGTTTCTTCCAAATCGCTCTTAGGAGCTGCACATGCTCTTTTACTGCTCTGGTGACTAAACAGAGAATAGGGAGTTAATTCATTATTTGGAAGCACGACAGATCATCTCGCTTGAATTCTTATTTCCATCTTAACATTTTACTTGCCCTAACACTGAAATTTTTAAAATTATTCAATTTGTGAGTTTGTGAAAATATTCAAAACAAGGTTTGTTTAAAATGAAGAGCCTCCAGTAGTTGTGGCGCAGCGCAGTTATGGGTGTACAGCCGCACTATATAGCGGTGAGGACGATTCTCAAACGTTAGAAACATACAGTCGACTCCGTTTACAGAGTGAACGCGTTTCATCTAGTAACTATTGATAATATATATAAAAAAGTGTTTTACTTCGGTTGACCTGCCTCTAAGTACACTACTTTAGCAATCGAGTCAGAAATCGAAATAAGCAATATTTCGAAAAAAACGTTAATGCTTTTGTGAAGTCAGGTCAAATATGCCACCTGCAGTCGATTAAGTTAGAAACCGCACAAAAATAATAGGTTCGCGGAGTGGAAATGTGCTCAAAGCCCAAGCATAACAAATAGGTTTCAAGTTTTAGACTATGACCTTCATAATTTTGTTCACACTGAAGTAGTAAATTTTTTAAACAGCCTTAGCACAAAACTGAAACGACAAAATTTCCTAAAATGAGTGTATTCACCAAGACCCTCGTCCGGATAATTATGGTTTCTGGTTGACTACAGGCATAAAAGGCGCTGTATTACCCCCTCCTCCCTATTTAGTAAGTGAGAAAAGAGGACAGCTGTCCCGAATACCGGCAAAAGCTAACACTGAATCCTCTCAATCGGGAAAAAGTGCTAAAATATGTCGCAAAATAAACATTGAAAAATAGTTTCAATGGCGAGCGAGACAAAGTGCACAGATGACCTTAGATGTTAAATAAAATAATCCAATTAGAGAGAGAGAGAGAGAGAGAGAGAAAGACAGAAAGAGAGGGAGGGGAGAAGAGAGGAAACGGTCGGGAGTATTCACCTAGAGTGCCGCGACAAGTGGGACAGGAAGAGAGCTTGGCACGACAGGTGGCGCAGACAATATGACCACTCTGACACTGGAGGATGGGCGGCAGAGCAAAATCTGTGCACACCGGACACTCAAAGAGACTTGCTAGGTCCATCTGATTGGCATCGGGTCGAGAGGGCGCAGGGGCGGCGCTAGAGTCGGCTACTGATGTTGCGGTCGCAGTGGTGGTATTCGACGTGACACCTGCTGTTGAGAGCGCCATCGGTGAGACCGTAGCGGCGGCGGGTGCGGAACAGCCTTCAGTGCTCATCGGATCGTCGTTCACGCTGCTTATACCGTCGTCGGTTGGCAGAACAGCCGTTACTTGATAAAGAAGTTTGTGGGCACGTTACGATCGATGAATGGTAGGTAAGAAAAATATTATAGTTATGGTCACATGGAGTAT